GTTCAAGGTCAGCCCAAGTACATAGTGAGACTGTCTCCAAAGGAAGGGAGGGAGGAAGGGAGGGAGGGAGAGAGGAAGGGAATGAAGGAATGAGAAAAAAAAGAAAGAGGAGAGAGGCAGGGAGGGAGGGAAAAACAAAGGAAGGACAAATGTTAAGAGGGGAGGCACAAAATGCTGGAGGCTATTTACCAAGTATGAAATTTTTTCAAAATATCTTTTTTTTCCCCTTGAAGGGATCCACCCAGAGTGGGAGCTGGAAAAAGGACCACTCCTTAGGAGTTTACTTACAGGGTAGGAATGATGTCAGCATTATGATTAAGGAGCTGAAATATGGCATCCGTATTTGGGATAATCACTGTGGTAAAAAGTAACAGATTCCACAGGCAAACACCTAGTGTTGGCTGCCATTGTTTTTGATGCCAGATTTTATTATACACCTATGGACTTTGACATAATGGTCATATCACATCTGCAGCATGCTGAGGGAGCCATTAAACTCCTCCTTCCCAAGAAAGCCAAAACTAGGGCCTATGGGCTCCTATTTACATTTCCTATTAAAGGCCACTAGAATTGGTATCTAGTACATAAAGGAAAACTATCTCAAATCAGTTTTGGATATAGGTGGGTGTTATCAGTACAGGCTGGTAAATAATAGCACACTCAGACAATATATTCGAGAGAATTTAATGAAGGAACCATTTTCAAAGGTATAGGCAAGATTTGGGGAAAACAGCAAGGGATGGAGACATATGTATTCTCAGGTAGAAACATCACTATAATATCTATGTCTAAAGGGGAAACACAAGGTTTACAAGAACCCAGAAAGATGTCTAGCTGGCTGAGAGAGAAAGTCACTGAATAGGAGGTGTGAGCTACTGCGTCCTGGCAACACAAATCCAGCAGGACGGAAGTGACTCTTCCAGGTCTCCTGCTGGCTTCCTACAGAGTGGCCAGAGCCAGCTAGAAACTAAAAGGTAAAGGCTCAGCTGATACCCAGGCAAGTTGCCTCCAGAGAACAGAGCAGGGTGGAGAAAAGATCCTGAGGGGCAAATGGAGAATACGTACACACAAAAGTATTCTAAATGACTACCACACAAGGCAAAACACTGAGTTTTGCCAGCCAGTTTCACCTAAATCTTCTAGACATCGCCTGCAAGTAAACCATAAACACAGGAGTTCTTACTGTCCTAGATCAGGTTGAAGGGGGAAAAAGATTGTAAGAGTAATTCCAGGTAACTTCTGGCATCTCTGCATCTCTAAGAGTAAAGAGATGGGCATCCTTGTAATCCTAGCACTTGGGAGGCTGAGGCAGGAGGACTGCTGCAAATTCGAGCCCAGCCTGGAGATACACAGTGAGTTCAAGGCCAGCCTGATCTACACAGGGAGTCTCTGTCTCAAAAACAAAAACAACAGATGAGCCATTTCTCTACAAGACAAAGCCTTTCCCTGTGCTCAAAGGGCACCTATTCCATACCTTTATTGCACTTATCATGATATATTGTAACCTCTTGTTTACTTGTTTCTCCCTCATTAGACTCTGAGCTCCCTTAGGGCAGGGACTGTCCTCCTCATCTTTGTATCACCAGCATTCAACAAGGTACAAAGTTGGCCTTCAACCAATGTGGCCAGAATCTCTTAGTGTGTCCATTAACTGGCAGCCTAATACCATGGTGGCTAAAATATGTATAGGATGATCTCTAGCAATTAAACACTAACAAGCAGTATTCAGGACGTGGTTCATTCATTGGGCTAAGATATAAGCCCCTTCCATACCAGTCCACTATCATTCCCTATAGAGCAGTTTTTCTCATGTGCTCAATGAATATGGTCTTTTCTACTATCATAGGACCATTCATCAAAAGAACCAGAGAAGCTGAACAAAGTGGTACACACCTGTAATCTCTGCTACTCAGAAGGCCGAGACAGGAGGATCACAAGTTGAAGGCCAGTCTGGGCAACTTAGGAGACCCTATCTCAAAATTTTTAAAAATAGGCTGGGGATATTTCTTAGCACTCACTAAATTTCATCTCCAGTACCAAAACAAACAAATAACAACAACAACAACAAAAGTCACACAGAAAAAGATGGCAAGACTATGCTCCACTTCAGAAAGGAACCAAATATACACCCTTTCTCAGAATTTTAATTCTTTGTCCAAGGATTTACCAGGCCCACTGAAAAGGCTAATAAGAATATGTATATAGAGGAATTCATGTTTCACAGTAATGATGATGATTTAGGGACATAAACATATAAACACACAGTATATTTAATGAACACTTCAAAAGACATCACCCTTGCTAAAATGATAAAGTACATGCGTAACAAAATTCACATAACATCATCATATTGAAATAGATATGCTGTATAATGCTGGGGTGGTCATTAACAGGATCTGGAACATATTCACATTATAATTATGAATAACTTTCACACAACCCTGTACTTATGAAATGCTTAATCATCCTTGTGTTGGTATAGTCAACTCTTAACTGCAGATGCTCCACAGAAAACGTTAATGCCAAGTTGATAACCCTCTTCAAGCTACCATGATTTTAGGCTGCCAATCTCCTGCTGTCAATAGTACGGTGAATAAAATCAAATTTAATATGATCCTTAGACTCCACTAGAAATGAGTTTGCTATATAAAAACATCTTCCAAAAGTCAACATGAAAAACTTTTGTGTCACTGCTCTCCTTCGTTGCTGTTTGTAATATGTATCTAATTAAAATAAGTTAGTGAGATAAGTGACTTTCTATTTAACAACAGGAAATTCTAGGCAAATTGTAATAACACTGAATTCTATTAAAAGAAACCAGGACCAGGGATTTAGCTCAGTAGCACCACACCTGTCAGGCAAGCGCAAGGTCCTGAATTCAATACCTGGTACAGAAAAAATTAAATTAAATTTAAAAATAAAAACAAAAGAATCCAGTAACACACACAAAAAATGTTTTAAATAAGGCAAATGTCTTTTTCCACAACAAACTCAATGCCTAAGTCCCCAAAGAAAACATTTTCCAAAACCACCAGTTGTTTTTTTGGTTTTTTTGGTACCGGGGATCGAACTTATGACCTTGCACTTGTGAGCCTGGCACGGCGCCACTAAACTAAATCCCTGGCCCTTAATTGCCTATTTTAAAGCCATTATATTCCTGCAACTGTTAGGTCAACGAAGCAATAAAATTAATCCCTCTAGGCCAATTATGTGATATTTGCATCATACTGAAAACATAATCCACGATTCTAATTTATAAAACTGTACTGCATACAGGTTTCTCCATTATACATGAGGTTTTTTTTAAGTGTGGATTTACCATGTGGCTGTGTGACATTAGCTTCAGCTGCCTCAGAGCAGTGGGCATTATGTTTCATCCGTCTTATTCAGTGTTTGGTCCATTTTTAAAATCCTGTTTTATAAATTAATTTCCCACTGGTAGGAAAAGGGGAGGTTGACCTATAATTATAGTATATAATTATGAAAATGATAGAATAATGTCCAATACACTAGAATTACCAAAATTACTTTTTTTTTTTTTTTTTAAACAGAGTCTCACTATGTAGTTCAAGCTGGCCTTAAATTCACTATGTAGCCCAGGTTGGCGTGGAACTTGTGGCAATCTTCCTGCCTCAGCTTCCCGAATGCTAGGATTTCAGGTGTGCACCCCAACACCCACATCCAAAATTACTTCCAATTGAACATTTTCCTTTCCCTTCATTAAAACATAAATAAAATTTAACAAATTTCCACTAAAACCAAGAATAAGTTGAAATATATTCCTAATTTAACATCTTAGCCAAAGGTAAACTTTTTTATTGCAATGAATTAATTTAGGTGTTTTAGGCAGGATTTAGTTTTTCCTAAAAAACAAAACAACCCAGGTAACAAAACCTACAAAAACTCTGTAAGACTGGAAGTAAGCAAGGAGATGAGATTGGAAATATGCAAGAATATTCAGGAACTACTGGTTTAAAACGGGAAATTTTGTTTTGAAGCCATTACGCAGACTTGCTTCTAAAACGCTAACACCACACATCTCCGACCTGAAAACTTGCCAGTATTACTACTTACATTACTTAAACAAGAGTCAGGCTGCAAACCTCCGGCAGGTTTTCTTGCTTTCCATAATATAAATAGCTCACAAGATAATTGCTTTACACAATACATATAAAAAGGAGAAATGCCACTTCTTGCAACGCCTATAACTTATCAAATTTTTCTCGTCAAAAGAACACCTGGCAACCAGAAACCCCCTGAACTGACGTCTTCCAATTATTAGGAATATAACGCCAAACTTGCTGCAGTTAAAGAATGGCTAATGCTCCTTGCGGGGCTGTCACTGGAGGTGGAGAGCTACGCCACGCCAAGGACTGCGCAGAGACGAAACAGCAGGTCTGGGATACCCTCCCCCTCAAAAGCAAGCTTCTTCAGACTCAACAGGCAGAAACTTGGCACCCTCAGCCCCACTTGCAACCTCACAATTTACAACCTGGCAGCACCTTCTAATTAGAAACGTTCTAGACTTTTATAGCCGAAAACTTAAAACTGCTTCTCACAAATAAGACAAATTAGGCACTGGTGCCTGCTACTGAGAAGCCGCAGTGCATCAAACCTCCAATTTCGATACAGAACCTGATGAGCCAGTGACCAGGCTTCTCTACAGCGGAGGGAGGAGCCCCACCCCCGCCAGCTAGAGTGGAAGGGGAAACAGAGGACAGGAGCAAGGGACGCAGTGCAGAGGCGTGAACAGGGTCAAAGCAGAGCTGAGCTCAGCACCGGCGGGCGACAGACAGGCAGCTGCGGCCACTCGGGCGCCGGGATACAGACTGCAAAGCGGAGCCCCGGGCTGCAGAAGTCGCCCCTCTTGTCCATCCCGGCCGCGCGCGTCAGGCACACCCCCTCACGCCCCTCCGCGCTCACCGGAAGCCCCGGCCCGCAAGCCCACGCCCCACGGGGCTCGCGCGCACACGCCCCTCGGGCCGGCGGCGCGTACGTACCCAGCAACACGCAGAGCACATCCAGGGCCACGTACGGCAGCCGCGTCTTGTCAAACATGGTCTCGGCCGGCGCTGCCCGGCGCGGGCGGTGGACAGAACTAAGGACCGGCGGCCGAAGTGTCCGATTCTCGAGCCTGGCTCAGAGGCTGGCGGCGGCCCCGAACCTCGGCTCCTCCGACCTGAAGGCGGACTGGGGCCCGGAGGCGCTCGGACCGCCAGCAATGGCGGAGGACCCCTCCCCTCGCAGTTCCCGCAACACTCGGTCCAGGCACTCGCGAGCCAGCCGCGGCAACTATGTCGCCCCAGGCCCTCCTCGGTCGGCTCCGGCCTGCCCCAGATGCTCGCCCTTAGGATCCCGGCACTGTCTCCAACAGGCGGGGCGTCGGGACTCGTGCTTTAAGGATGAGGACCGGTAGGGAGGAGGAACGCGGGCTCCGGCCCCTCCCGCCAGGCAGCGCCCGGCCGGCCAGCGCGCGGCCTCTCCGGCTGAGGGGGGCTGCGGGGCGTGGCCGGGGAACCCCAAGCCAGAGCGGGCAGCCAATTGGAGCGCCGGCCCCGTCCTGGCGACCTGCGGGCGCGCCGTGAGGTTGGACGTGGGCGGGGCGGCTCGGCCCCGCCCCGCCCCGCCCCGCCCCGCTGCGACGCCGGTTCTTCGTGGGTTCTGAACTCAGCCTCCTTGCGTCCGGCTGCTGGGCATTGCTGCTTTCGAAGGGGAGCGAGGCCCCCTAACCTTAATCCCAGAGCCTCAGCTACCCGCCACTTCTCTCCTGTAGGAATGGGTGATGAAGAGGTCAGGGTTGACAGTGACAAAGAGGCTACTCGACCAAACTTCAGTTAGGCGCCTCTAGTCCTCTTATCTGCGAAGCCTGTACCTTGGCCTTCCTGTCTAACCCAGCTGAACCCAATTTTAGCAAGAATCCTGCTATGTCATTCTCCCACCCTTGATATCTGATCACTTGATATTTTGATAGTTGATATCTGAACAAATTTCTTAGTCCCTGCACCCACTTAAATGTATAAATCTTTGGCTTGCGTTTAGCAAGAATCCCCCTGCCCTTGTCTCCTTAGTAATTTTCCGTCCACTGATCTTCACTCCACTTGTTCCTTGGCTATAAATCCCTAGTTTTGCTGTTTTCTGAGTTGAGCTCATTTTCTTCCCCTACTGCAAGTCCTGACTCCTGTTGCAGTCAGTACACGTGAATCAAGACTTCACTATGGGCGCTAGGACTTACCTACCTAGATTGCATGAGGACCTCGTTCAATCTCCAGTATTGAAGGGAGAGGGGAAAGTTTTACCAAATATCAGAGTAATTTTAATGTTGAGCAATCCCCCTACCCTATTTCCTAGGAGGACTAAAGAATAGATTTAATAATCTCAGTTTCCTGATCTGTAGAATGAGGATGTTGATAATCCCTGCTTTGTGTTCTACTCAAGGGGAAGTGGTAAACACCATAAAAAATACGTAAGTTGCCTAATAGTTAAACCACTACAGATGTTAACAATTGATAGCTTTCCTCCTATCTGTTTATCTTCTTACAAATCACAAAATGTACTTACTATGGCTCACATTTCCTATGAAGCATCCCTAAAGCCAATGGAACAATAATATTAAACTCAGGGACGCTAAAAATATAGCTCCAACTGATCTTCCACAAGTAAAATAAGTATTTCAAGAAGCATGTTTTTCTTTAAAAGGAATGAGAATTTTGGATTTCAACTGTTGTTTGAATAGCTTCCAATAGCTTTAAACACTTTACACCTAAGAAAGATGTGCCATTATTTATTCTGTGGCTTCTCTTACTTCCAGAGGAGGTCACAATAAATTGAAGGGTTTTGTGATATCTATGTAGTCAGTATCCATTAAAAAAAAAAACATTTATTGAGCATCAACTGTGTGCCAGATTCAGTCTAGGCTGGGTTTAGAAAAGTTTTTTTTTTAGCACCAGGGATCAAACTTGGGACCTTGCGCTTGCAAGGCAGGCAGCAGAACCATTGAGCCAAATTCCCGGCCCTAGAAAACTTTTGAAATTAAAAAAAATTTTTTTCTGATACTGGGGATTGAACCCAGGGCCTTTACACTGAGCTACATCCCAGCCTTTTTTATTTTGAGACAGGATCTCATTAAGTTGCCCAGCTCCCTCGAATTTGCAGTCCTGCCTCAGCTTCCCTAGTGGCTGGGGTTACAGGTGTGTACCACTGCATTTGGCATAAACATTTACTTTTAAAGTGTTTTTTTAAAAGTTTTGAGGCCGGGGATTTAGCTCAGTGGTTCCACCACCTGCCTTGCAAGCACAAGGACCCGAGTTGGATCCCCAGTACCAAAAAAAAAAAAAGTTTTGAAATTGTATTTATGATTTTATTCATTATACATTCAATATTTTTTTAAAGTTCTATTAAAAGATATAATTCACATACACAATTTACCCGTTTAAAATATGCAATCCAGTTGTGATAGCACTCCCACAATCAATTTCAGGACATTTTAGTCATCCAAGAAATTCCATAAACAGTCATTATTCTTTATCCCTCTCCCCATGCCCCGCCCAACCATGCCCCAGGCAATATCTACTTTCTGTCTCCATATATTTATTTTGGATTCTTTTCTTCTCCTAATTATCTGTCCTTTTATCAGTATTTACCCATCTCCCTCCCTCCAGTCACCAAAGCCTGAGGCTGTCCTATGAGATCAACTTTTGTAGATTCTAGGCAAATGCTCTGCCACTGAACCAAAGCCCTAGCAGATTCTGTATATAAGTAGATCACCCAGTATTTGTCTTTCTGTCTCTGGCCTATTACTGTTCTCCGGGTTTATCCAAGTTATCACAAATGACAAGAGGTCAATCCCATGAATCCCAGTCATGGGATTGTTGGGTCATATGGTAGTTCTGTTTCTAGCTTTTTGAGGAACCTCTGCACTGTTTTTCTTTTTTTTTCTTTTTTTGTACCGGGGATTGAACTTGGGTCCTTGTGCTTCTGCGCTTGCACACTTGCACATCAGGCAGCCAAACCACTGAGCTAAATCCCCAGCTGCACTGTTTTTCTTAATGGCTGTACTGAATAGTATTCCACGGTGTATATGTACCACATTTTTTTTATCCATTTATCTGTTGATGTACATGTAGGTTGATTTTGTGTCTTGGCTTTTGTGAACAGTGTTACAGTAAACATGGGAGTGTAGGTGTCTCCTTGACATTTTATTTCCTTTGGCTAAGGACCCAGTTATTGGATTGCTGGATCATATAGGGTAGCTCTATTTCTAGTTCTTTTTTTTTTTAATTTCTAGCTTTTTTGAGGAACCCCTGCACTGTTTTTCTTAATGGCTGTGCTAAATTATACTTCCACCAGATAAAAATTCCTCTTTCTCTACACCCCCACCAACATGACTCTTTTGTCTTTTTGATACTGGCCATTCTAACAGATGTGAGGTGCTCTGCATTCCTCTGATGAAAGCAACATTGATTGAGTTGCCAATACTGTATCTAACAGACCCAGGACATAGCTCTGGGGAGTTCAAAATGACCAACAGAAATTATCTTCTCAAGGAGCCTGCAGCTCAAGTAGGAAGCCTGGTGTGTAATTAAATAAATATATATTGTGACAGAAGTGGGTTTGTGTGCAACAGGCATCCAGAGCAAAGAGTAGGCGGTCTGGAAAGATGCCACAAGGAGGTGACACTTTAATTATTCTTTCTTGCCCCTCTCCCACACCAACATTTTCTTAAGGGAGAAGGAAGTAAAGCATTGATATCTTTATTAACAGTGTTTTTGTTTTGTTTTGGCCCTTTGGAAGAATTACACATAATAGCTTTAAAGATAGATTAATAAATCAAAATCCATTAAAATGTCTAAAGTCACTTCCTGTTATTTTGAATGGGATCTGTGCTATGTTCAAATGATAAGCAATTAATCAGTTCTCATTTTTTTTTTTTTGGTACCGGGGATCGAACTCGGGTTCCACAGCAGGCATTGAAACCAATTCAATTCTCATTTGAGGAAAGAATGACTAAGAAATATTTGGTTTTGGTTTTGAGTGGAGTGTTTTGTTCATTGGGTGGTTGTTTTGGTTTATTGTAATAACTGGATTCTGGCGTGACCTATTATAATTGAGAATGAGTTAACTTGAAATGATGGAGAAAATAGTAAACAGGGAAATACTGATTGAATAGTAAAACCATTAACACCCCTGGGAGCAGGTATGAGTGTGGTCTTGGACTGAAAATGAAACCTCAGGACCATCCTCAGATGCTTAACAAAGTTTGTCTTGGGCCCCAAATTTTCTCTCTTGTAATACAAGTATCTCTTCTCTTATTGCTAAACTTGTGAAAGGAGTCTATAATCTATATCCTACATTTCCACTTTCTTTTTAAATACCTTTGAATTCTCACTTCTGTCCCTACTCCTCTACTTGCACTGCTCTCCAACATATCATTGATAAGTCTCCCTCTCTCCGTTTTTTCTTGTCTCAACTACTTACTTATTTCATAAAATGTCTGCAAAGTAATAATCAATTCTCTTAGGTATTTATGCTTCCATGTGCACATATCCTTTCTCCCCAAATGGACTGAAGCAAATAGAGCTTTTATTATACTTAAATAGCACTGAAAAACTAAAATAATTTAAAATGTATATGAAAAATCTAGTTGATGGCACACAACTATTATTCTAACAGGAAAGTCAGCCAGAGTTACCTAGCCAGATCCTATCTCAAAAAAACAAAATGACTGGGCTGGGGATTTAGCTCAGTGGTTTCACCGCCTGCTGCACAAGTACAAGGACCCGAGTTTGATCCCTGGTACCTTAAAAAAAAAGAAAAAGAAAAAATGATAACAACAACAACAAAAAGGTAAATGACTGGTTCCCAAGTCACATCCCCCAAAAGAAAAATTCACAATATATTAAATTGTTTTTACACTTACTGTCAAAGCTGTTTCTTTCCTTATTAAAGTTTTTAATCATATAACGTTTGATCCTTAAACATGTAACATATGAGTTGTGAACAACCATGAATCCACTGCTCAACTAAACACCCAGAGCAGTGATGGTGAACCTTTTAGAGCTTTCAATAATAAACAGCTCACTGCAGCATGTGTGCCATAGGTTCACTAATCCACCTGTGTGCTCTATCCCTTTCTTTTTTTCTAGTTGAAGAGAAGTAATGATTATCCAGAATTGTGTGTTTATGTTTTCCTTGCTTTGTTTTTTCCCCCAATGGCTTATGTATCTACGTGTATATGTATATACATGTATATGTATCTTTAAAAATATAGTGTAAGGATCAAAATGTATAATTGATAATGTGAAATAAGAAGAAAAGGTCTTTAAAGGAGTAGGGGAAGTGAAAGGGGCAGGGGAAAGGAAAGAAGGGAAAAGAAAAATATGAGAAAAGGAAAAAGTGGAAACAAAGTCATTGTAAATAGGGAAGGGTGGAGGGGGTGAAGGGAGGGCAGGGGAATGGGGGAAAAATAAGATCCAAGATACATCATGTAA